CTCTCCTATTGGTATGAATGTTAAGGTAGAAGGTTTCGAAAGTGATATTCCCTTCTGGTTTTCTTATCCAGAGATAAATGGAAGTTCAGGGGAAATCCTGTGCAAGAGTCTAGATTGCTCCCATAACTTGACGCATCTCAGAGTGCTTACATGCACAGACGGCTTTGGCAGTGTAACAAGTGAGGGCTGGAAGGCTTGCGCCAGATCTAATGGAACCGCCCTAAAGGTACCACTTGTTGAGGACATTATTGATAAACAGAGTGTCCCTAATGCTAGGACGCATTTTTCTAGCGAAGTGGAAACATGGCTACTAGAGAACAATTTTGAAGAAGCAGGAAAACTGACAAAATTAATTAGAAAATGGTATGAGGCAAGCGACTCACCAGGCATTTCATCCAGAGACAGAGTTCAACACCTGATAAATATGCGGAAATTCTTGCTTGGAGATACTGACTTTGGAAAATTTCCTCCTAAAAGGCGTTATATAAATCGCATACCAATTGTAACATTTCAAGGAATGTGTATTGACATAGACACAAAAATACAGATGTATGGAATAACCGGTTCGTACAATATTAGAAGCGTTGGTTCCCTTGCTGCAGAGACCACCGTTGGTGTGTTGCAATCTTTAAGCCCCGTCAGTCAGGTATCAATAAAGGCCAGAGATGTTCCAGCTCTTATGCACACATTAGTGGATGTTATGACATGCAAAATAAATACAGATAGGTATGAAATGATGCTCTGATTTATATCTAAAATACGTGAAAAAAAATATTATATTTTAAAATACGTGATGAAAAAGAATCGAAAGAAATATTGTAATTTAAAAAAAAAATACTTAAACAGGGGCTTTTACATGCGAACATCTAAATCTAGTGGTGTATACCCAGTTCATGAAGGTGATGTTTCAAGAATGGATCTGTCAGCCGACAAGTGCTCTTTACCAGTCTGTTATATTTCGTCAAACATCATTCCTAAGTAATTATTTCAAATTGCATTGTACTTCACTAATGTTTCGAAATGCACTTTATGAAATATTAAGAGCTCTCTTTCTATCTTTTATATTATACATTTATAGTACATTTTCGTATGTAGAGTACATTCTAAGCAATTAAAAATTACATTTAACATTTTTCTTTTCTAAGACACAATACTTAAATTAAAATTAAGTTATGTGTATTTTTTGTAGAGACCACATTTTTGACAAAACAGAAAGGCAAAAGGTTGTTCGAAAAATAAAATTTGGAAGCATCTCAAATCCAAGTGAACCATCGAGGGGAGCGTTGCCCGTTCGGCAGTACCATAGAAAAGACGAATCAAAAATATTGCCGACGAAACGATTGGGAATATCCGTTGATTTCTAAAAGTAACAAGAGGCCCATGGACCACAACGCTCACCTGAGTAAATTTGGTCCTGCTGTTCTTCACCAGATTTCCCCTCTTTTAATACTTATTAGGTCCCACCCTACCCCAGGGGGTCATAATTTGAATAATCTAGAATCTACACTACCTAAGGAAGCTTCCATATAAATTTCAGATTTTCTGACCAATTGGTTCTTGAGAAGAAGATTTTTAAAGATTTTTTAAAATGTATTTCAATGTAAAACTTTTATTTCATATTGTGGTCCCACCCAACCCCTGGAGGCCATGATTTGAACAATTTATAAACTACACTACCTCAGGTCCTTCCACATTTGTTTCAGCTTTTCTGACCCATGGTTCTTGAGAAGAAGATTTTTTAAATGACTCCACCCTATTTTTGTCTTTTCTCGATTATCTTCCCTTGGAAGGGGGCCTGGCCCTTCGTTTTAGCAATTTAAAATCTCCTTCACTCAAGAATGACTTTTATCAACTTAGGTTAAAATTGGCCAAGTAGTTCTTGAGAAGAAGTTTAAAATATGAAAAACTTACAGACGGACGGACGGACAGCTGGACGGACAGACGACGGACAACGGGTGATCAGGAAACCTCACGTGAACTTTCAGCTCAGGTGAGCTAAAAACAAATGTGATTTTCTGGTAAAATCTTAATCGAAATGCTGAAAACTACAAGCATACAAAAACTTTCTTAAAATGAAATTCTTTAATCTGCTAAAAGCAACAAGAAAGTTAACAAAATAAGAAAACGTAATATAATGTTGTATAACTAACTTGTATAACTACATGTAATATAATGTAGTGTAAATGCTGCCTTGCATGACAAAATAAAGATGCTTCCCGTTATTATCAACTCTGTTTCTAAACGTCTACATTAGTACCAGACTTGCACATTTTACTGTGTTTCAGCATAGTTTTCCTATTCTGGAATGTTTTTTCGCATTTTCCACAAGGAATGGTGATGGAACTATGTTTGTATTTCATATGTTCGTGCAAGTATCTCTTTTCTAGAAATTTTTTCCCACAAATTTCACAAGTTTCCATTGCCTCTCTTAATGTATTGCAGCAGGTTTTCTCGTGATTCTTCAGTTGTCGAAAAAATCCACCACACTTTTTACAACCCGTTTTCTCTTCCTGGTGGGTCCCAATATGTCTTCGTAGATGATATGCATTTTTAAATCTCTTATCACATTTAGTACACAAGAATCCTTCATTGAAATGTTTAAATTTTTTGTGATCGCTCAAAGCCCCAGTACTAGAATATGATTTACCGCATATTTCACAGATGTATTTCTCTTTTTCGGAAGCATGAACTTTTGCATGACGAAGTAACAGATAACGAAACTCAAACTCTTTGTCGCATTGATTACAAATAAATTTTTTTTTGATCTGTATGAGACCCTAAATGCCTTTTTAGGGTCCCTTTTGACTTGTACTTCTTGCCACATATTCCACATTCGAACAAAGATGTTGTAACTTCTACTGTTATATCCTGAATATCCATCTACAAAATAAAGAAAACAAGAATTAACCAATACAATATTGTATACATGTAATGAAATATCTCTATTTTAAGAGGGTTTTTTTTCAAATGAAAGTAATAAGACCCGCGTGTTTTTTTTAATCTAAGTAAATCAAATTGGTCGAAAAATTTCATTAATTTTTTTTGAATGCCATAATTTGGATTTAAAGGCATCCGTCGAAAAGCCTTGGAATGGTATAGTGTAGTAGTTTCAGTAATATTAAGTTGCATTCAGCAAAATCCTAGGAGTCACAGTGTATGATCGAGGCCGTATTAAATTTCGAAATAAGTTAGGGACATATCAAATGGTTTAGATTTAAAGACATATTCGACTACAATTTATTTAAAATGTGAATCCAAGGACCTTCTGACAATGTTTCTAGTGGTTACAAATTAACTTTATTACATGTTGACTTGTACATGAAAATATTTTAGCATATTAGGTACACGATTTCATTTCATTTCTGCATACTGCTTATAAATACTAATCTTAATATAACTATGATAAAATAAAAAATCAAAACAGGTAAAGTAAAAAGCATAAGGTAAATGTAACGACAAAAGTCAAGTTTCCTGTATGGTTCTTTATTTAAACTAAATATCAAATTGGCAATGAGCTACAAACAAACAAAAAAAATAATACATGCATACATTACCAATAAAACACAAAAACACGAATAAAAGAAGATTTAATCAGTATGTTAATTCAAATTTAATCGAACAACAAACCCCCAAAATATGACGACGCCACGCCCAGTCACTCATAACAGTGTCACTGCGTGTGTGGTCTCTACATTTAAATAAACACAATACCGGTACTTATTATCTAAACGTTAAAAAGATATAACATTTAGTGTAATTCATAAGATTAACAAAACACTCTTACCATAACACGGATCACTATCGAACACGTAAGGACCAGGGGCGTCAGCACAGCGAATGTTATTATATATACTTGTCAAACCAGTTTAAATCTTAGAGATTTACTCAGCAAATAATGATTTTATAAATTCAGTTCACTGCACTGAAAATTAATTGAAAATAGATTGATTGATTGATTGTATGTTGTTTTAAGTCCCATTCGAGAATTTTTCACTCATATAGAGACGTCACCATATACCGGTGAAGGGCTTCAAATTTTGACCTTTACTCGGCACTCAGGGCCATTGAGCAGTGAGGGATCTTTATCGTGCCAACGCCTGCCGTGACACGGGGCCTCGGTTTTTAAGGTCTCATCCGAAAGACCCGCAACTTTCACTCCAAAGTGCCGAGCGCATGGCGAAGGAACAGTTGCTACCTATTTTTTATCGACTTAGGTCTGTCGCGGCCGAGATTCGAACTCACGACCTCCCGATCACGGAGCGAGCGCTCTACCGACTGAGCTACCGTGAACGGTCAAGACAAAAACTAGATAAATAGTCAAATAGTATTTTTATAAAGTTTTTACTAATATAATCTCTAAATAGAATTAAATACCTGGCGCAAGGACAGAATCTCTATAAATAGAATATAAGGTCAACAAAGTATGGTGCGCGTTTCGCGTTTTTTCAACCGTTACATAAACAAAATGCCGAAATTTAAAATGAAATAAATTCTTTTGCGACTCCCCAATACGTTCTGTTTTCCCAGAAACGACTCCCCCCTGCGTAACAATTACTATCTGAAGAGAAAATGTCCCAATTTCTTATTTTTCTAAGGGTTTGAAAAGTTTTGATTGCTGCAGGTAAGAGATAAAAATTTTATTTCGCTGTTTCAGCTATCTAAACCACATTGCAAGTCGTAGCTTGTGCAAAACATTCATGTTTTGACCACTCAATCGCCGTGAATTTGAACTCTGTGCAATAGTTTCGAAGTGTTTGAGAATACTAGACATATTTGAGAGCCGGACTAATGACCAAAAGAAAGCATAACTATCGCTGTCTTCCGTGCGATATACAATTTTTGTAAATACATGCTACAAATGACGAAAAAAGGCGTGACCTACCTTTCTCCTGCCTCCGAAGCGGTGAAAAATGCACTCCCCATACGTTGAAAACGACTCCCCCCCCCCCCCCCCACTTTTTAGCGACTCCCCCGCGTTACCCGTTGTATACGGTGTTGTAGAGCTTGAGAATCTGCTAGGGCATCATGGGCATCATAATGTGCTGTACATAAATCTTTCAAAAGGTCCACTTGTTTGTAAGATTTTCTGTTGGGAACTGCTTCTCTGATTAGAGGTAATGTGTCTATGAATCCAATAATAAAGTTTTTGGCACTTAGTCCTACCTGATGCATTCCACGGACAATAACACTGGAGTCAAATTTTGCATTGTGAGCAACTAGCACTATGTTTGAAAATTTTTTCAACCATGCAACAAATGTTTTCATAGCATCCTTGGTATTCTTACATGGCACCTGCATTCCATTCTTGAACATCAAATTCTCCTTCACAGCAATACCCGACACAGCAGTGGCAGAGGGTGAAATGGACTGAGTCGATGGAAGAACATACTATGAAAATGATTCTTCAGAAACACCCGCACCAATCTGGGTGACTTCATAATCTTTACCTAAATCATAAGGAAAAGGAATTACACATCAATATGTCACAAACAAAAAACATACACTTTTACATTACAAATTTATTACTCAGGAAAAAATGAAACAGTTGCATAATTATTCTAAAAATAATGCTTCAGTTGCATGCATACTTCTGTGTCAATATATGAACACTTACCAAGACCTGTAGTTTCCAAATCAAAATAAACAAATGTGCACTGGTCATGAGCAATAGGAGTAGACTGGGGTTTTCTCAGAAAAAACTTCATCATCGTGACCTTTAATAAATTAAATGCACAGCTATACAATAATATGCAGGATATACACGAAGTCGTTTATACGTCTGTATGAACAATATATGAAAGAGAATCGAAAACAAGAAATCATAATAAAATTTTCACTCACTTGGCTGCAGAAGTATTTCTTCTTGGTTTGTTCGTTGTTTGTTTATTTCTAACGCCCTTATTTTCCTCAACTTTCCTTCAGATATAAACTTTCCACCTTTATCGCGAAATTGCTCCTCCATGTTGTAAACAAACTAATAAAAAAGCACATAAAGGGACATAACAATTTCTTAACATTCAAACCAATTTCGGAAATCAGTTCGGAATTACGTAGTGGAAATCTTCACGTTGCGGAGATAGAATTTTTTTTTTTGGAAATAATGGAAGATACGTCGCGTCTGACCTTAATGTACAAAGATACGGTAAATTTGTCTCATTTTTATTTATTTATTATTAACAAGTCTGACCATTAAAAATTATGAGAGTACTTTATGTATTATATATTTTAAAATTAATGTATAATTCTCTTATTTAATTGACCTTTCAAATACATTATTTACAGTGATTTATTATCATAGGTGAATAGCAGAGGTGAATAACCTCTCAGAATACAAATTAATACAGCCCAGTTTAACATGCATTGAAAGTGGCCTCTGTCCAGCACCAGAACACACGACTATTAAAAACAAACTACAGTTAACTGTAGTTTACTATAGTAAACTAACTATAATTTATTTTAGTTAACTATATTATCAAAGTAAAAAAAAATGAGAAACTTTGTTTAGTATAGTGTAAACTTTGAAATTTGATTAATACTTTCATAAAAACTTTGAAACTTTGATTTACTATAGTGAAAAGTTTGAAGCTTTAACTATAGTAAAATCTGTGAGACTTTTATTTACTATTATAATAATACAAACTTTGAGACTTTGATTTACGATAGTGAATACTTTGATTTACTCTACTACAAACTGTGAAACTTTAATGAACTAAGTGAAATTTTGATTTACAATATTATTGTGAAAAATTTGAATAACTATAGATCCGAGAAACTATGTTTTGGATTCCCATTCTTGACATTTTAAGATATTTCATGGTCAAAATTTATAAAAAGCTTCAAAGAATTTAAACCCGACCCCTCACATAAAAAAAGGTGCAAGAAATGAGTTTTAATGCGAGATTGTCTCTCGAGCCGATAAAACCGATACATAAACAAAATTTATTCAAATGTATTTAAATTTAATGGTGATGTAGTGTTTTTTTATGGAGAAATATAATTTTGTATAAAATGAAATTTGAAATCATTTAGAACCAAAATACCAGCTCCATCAACTATAGTAAACGTATTTTTTTTTAGATTTATAAATGTAAATAATGCATTTGAATTAGCTAATTTGTAAATTTAAATTATGATATACAACAACCCCCACCTCATAAAATGAAAAATAAGTACTAAATTATTAAAATACCTCAATAAGTTAGTAAACTATAGTGCAAACTTTGATTTACAATTAAAGTAAAAACTTTAAAACTTTATTTACTATAGTAAAAAACATTGCTTTACTTAAGTAAAAACTTTGAAACTCTAACTATAGTAAACTAGGACTGCCCAAAATGTACAAATACTCCCGCTGGGGTTTCAGAGAAGGTGCCAAGTCACTAATACTAGTATTTGATGTATCTAAGAGTGTTCACAATTTGTTTAAACACTTATAGTAAAAATTTACCGGTAATTGCCCAATATATTTTTTAATGAATGAAACAGGCGCAGTCGAAGAAAACATCAATACTAATAAAAAAAAATTTATTACACTGAAAAAATAACAATTTCTCAAGTATTTCTCTCTGGGAAAGAATGGAGGAATTATTTATCCATTTTTGCTACAGTGACCATAGGTCAAAATCAGAACACACCCTCAGGTCATAAGCAATCTTTGTGTGAAGTGGAAACTCCCAACATTATTCTCCATAAAAGGATAGGGACCGGACACGAATTATAAACTTTTTCTGTCAGTGACCTTGAACTTTCACAAATGAACTTGATCAAGGTCATGACGTAGTTCCTATATACCCCCAAACTTTTTTTTCGGTGGGTATAACTATAGTTAACTTTAGTTCACCATGTTATTTTTTTGTTAGCCCTTGCTTATACAAACTCGCCTCTTAGATGCCCAGGTGCAGAGGAAGATTTTTAATAATTAATACATTATTATATGTACTATATAATCGGAAGAGCCCCGCCCTAACACCAAATCCTTGACCCAAGGGCCATAAAATTTACATTTCCGGATTATCGGAAGAATCATTTGCCAAGTTTATTCGCTAAATTTACAGGGAAAGTGATTTTTAAAGGATTTATGCACTTTCACTATATTGTCATTAGATCCATCGTCCAAACTCCAGAACCTCTGACCCCAATGCCACACATTTCAAATTTTGGAAGCCTCCTTGCTCATTATGACTATACACCTAGTTCAGGCGCGCATCCAGGATTCTTTTCCAAAGGTGGTGGGGGTTCGTTCTACCCTAGTCAAAAATTTCCAATCCGTATATTTCTTGACAAGCTAAAAAAGTCCATTCCCAAACCTGAAAAAAACTATTTCGGTTTGCGGGGAGAGGGGTTTCTACGTTTCTTTTTAAGGGGGAAGGGGGTCTAAAGTTTTATTTGCTTCAGTATACAATTTAAATAATTCTGCAAATTCCATAAAGGGGGGGGGGGTTTCTGGAGTTGGGCTCTCGATCTGCGCATTTAGTTTATCTGCTAATTTAACACGTTTTAATATACAGGTGGATTGAAGTTTTTTCGAGAATTTATGCACTTTCACTATATGCTCATTATTGCCCTCTCAAACTCCTGATCCCCGGCCCTCGGGCTATGAATTTCACAGTTTGGTAGAGGGACCAATGTTTATTACAATATACTGCTTGATGTCCACGAGTAAAGAACACTTTTAATGGAGTTTTGCGAGAAGCACCGACTTTTACAGTCGACGGCTTACACTAGGACAAATACGGAAGATCTTTTGCGATATAAATATTTAGCTGAAGAATTAAAAGGTAGTAATGGAAGGTTTCAAAGCACACAATACGTTGTCTTGGAGGGCAACCGCATCCAACCTATCCTCAACCCACTCCCTTTCCACCTTGACCAAATCCTGCCAAGTTTTCCTTTCGGAATATTTGTTTTCATATCTACATGTATTATCCGTATAATTCCGTACCTCTGTACACAACGCAGATTTAAATGTCCAAGTAAGCCGTCGACTATAAAAGCCCGATGATGGCACTAAATTTGATAGTTTTATCCCTACCCCTCAGGCCACAGGTGGGCCCCGGTGACCAAGAAATTCTAATTTTTTTTGTTTTCCTATAGCCATAGATGTTAAATTCCAAATTTAGTTGAAACTGGTTCGGCAGTTTTAGAGAAAAAGCTGAGAATGCTTGGAAGTTTACGACCGACGCACGACTACGGACGAAAACAGATAGCAATGGGTCACCTAAGTGACTCAGGTGAACTAAAAAAAGGAAACTTGAAGGTTGCTAAGAGAAGTAATGCAGATTATGCAGGTGAGATGTAACTTACTTCCACATGAAAAAAGAAATTTCTCTGTCAGTGCCCTTTAATTCGACAATTTGATAAACATTGTATCGAGGACGTTTTATCATTTAACAATATTCAGTTTCATCCCTACGATGATTTGATAATTATATAACATTAAACTCTAAATAAAAGATACCACAGAATCTGAATCATCTGTTTTATAATGGATGTTTTTATAGAGAAAGACATTACAAAATGACAACTAAACTTAATGATATACGTGAGGACTTCAATTTTTCTACCGTTAAATTCCCTTATTTCTGTAGCAACAAACCATTAATACCTGTATATGGGTTTTATGTTTCCCGGATGACTTGATATACAATTGTATGCAAGAGCCTGTTCTACGAACGAACAATTTTTGAAACGAGACAGGCTAGTGACAAATAAGTTGATGATAAAATCCCTTTTCAAGTCAACATTTCGCATATCTGTGGTCGATACAATAACTGTTTGCAAATACAACCTATCGGGTAGTCAAATATTGACAGACGTCTTTCATACAAATTGTTATGCCATTATTTCACGCTGAATTGTCTACGTATACCTGATCATGACAACAGGCACACATGGAAAAGTCGTAGATAAAGACAATTTGGAGGACATTAAGTCTGAATTTTTAAACTGGTTACTCTGAAAATCATTACTTTTTGCACACAATGGTAAAAATGTTGAATCAAATAAATAATTTTGAAAAGTGACTACAACGCGCACAATGCTATAAATGATGAACTTGTTTTTCAGGAACTCATTTATGATAAAAATTATATCTGTCCTTCTCTTTTACGTGTAGGAAAATTTGAAATATCTTCATTTATCCCCCCATTTTGTATTTGCAATAACTTTTAATACATCTCATGTCTTTGTACGTTTTTCTTTAAGTATTTTAATATGCGAGATAAAAGAGAGTTTACTGTCAAAGATAATACCTAAAAATTTCATCTCCTTTACTACTTTTATAGGGATTCCAACTAAAAGCAAATGTGGTTCATCATGGGCTTTCCGTTTGGAGCAGAAATGCACCAAGCGGTTTTACTTTAATTTTGAGAACTTAAATCCATTCATATCAGCCCAATTTTGAATTTTGTTTAGATAAAGCTGTAATTTTCGCTCAATATAATTCATACTTTTGGATTTAAAACAAAGAACAAAATCATCGACATATAGACTTCCATATGCATGCATATCATTTTTAAGCACTTCTGCTATACTGTTAATTTTCAAGCTAAATAATGTGACAGATAAAATACTTCCTTGTGGTACACCCATTTCCTGTTCAAAATTGTCCGAATATGTAGATCCCAAGTGCACTTTAAAATGTCTATCATTCAAATTTTTTTTTTTATAAAATTGGGCAAGTGTTCTTTAAGGCCCATACTGTAAGGATCGTTCAAGATGCCACATCTCCGAGTAGTATCATATGCTTTTTCTAAGTCAAAAAATACAGATACGACATGCTCTTTTTTAATAAAGGCATCTCGAATATAGGTTTCCAGTCGTACTTATTGGTCAATAGCACTTCGGTTTTTTTTCCTAAAACCACACTGTATATTAGATAAAATGTTATTGGTTACAAGAAACCATGTTAAGCGTTCATTGATCATCT